TAATTACGAAGTAATATATACAATCAAAATAAGAAAAAAAATCATGATTTTTTTCTTAAAAACAGCGAAGTTATATGCTGTATTGATATGAAGGTGTTCTCAAGTAGAATTAAAATTCAGGCCCTCTCGCCCCCCCCCCCTTCCCTCCACTCAGTAAACTTTTCAATTCTGATGTGATTTGTGCTTTTTCCTAGCCGATGTACTCAGGTGAGCGATGTGGCCCTGGGCCTCTTGTTCCAAATTGTTACTTGCATTTTTAAAAACTGGTTTGTAGCTTATTGTAAGCTTGTTGTAGATGATGCATTGCTTACAGATATTTTCGTTTTCACGATCATGACAAAGATCTGCGACCGGTAGACAGGGCTTATTCCCCTTTGCTGCCTGATCCCTATTTTGGTGTTCTCAAGGTCCGTATGTGTACTGCTATCAATTTGTATTTTTGAAATGAACTTTTCATCTTTATTACTCTTTATAACGTTCATATCTCATCAAATACATGCAGACAGAATCGTTTTTATTTCAAAAGGACTGGATAACCTTTAATGCATTTGCCTTAAAATACTTGTAAATGTGTGTATATCATATAAATTAATTTTGAAGGACTTCATCAATTATATCACTCATCTCTATTCTAATGAGTTTAATTTTTTTAATAATGTATAATTTTTACTATTCATAAAAATCAAAAAGGAGAAATCGTTGTGATAGCTACTACGACAAGTATTAATCAACTTATGGAGCTATTCTTTAGGAAATATCACTTATTTTCAAACAATCCTGCTCATTCATTATGAATGATGGAAAAGCACTAATTAACATTTTTTCCGTATGAGATTATAAAGTTATTGAAAGTTATCTTATGGTGTTGGATTTGTGTAAAATGAAGTAAAAGAACTTGCCACAATATTTATTTTTACTTTGATTTAAACTTGCTATTCAAAACCTAGATCCACTCCTTAGTTCTCGCTTACCTGTATAAAATAAATCAAGAAATGGAGCTAGGGCATTGATCAGGTATTTTGGAAGTGGTCATTGTTATTTGGGTATTTACTGGTCATTGATTAGGTCGGAATCGATTTATTTTTTTGATTGGGTTAGAGTTTTCCCGCTTTATTATGTCCATTCTTTGTTCAATGGTTGATCAGACCAGAAGGATATGGATATAGCGAAGCGTATTCAATATCAAAGTCCATAAAACAATACAAAATTGGAGCAGAGCAAACACGGACCTCCGAAAAATCAGAGGTGGGATTAGGTGCCATGGAGGAGTTAGCATCCCCTGCTGACCGTCCCCACCGCCGTGTGCTCCTTGTCATGATCGCCAAACTAAAATAGACATTGAATGAGGCTGACGATTCCTTCTCTGGTAAGTTACATGTACTTATATTAATTTGATATTTTAAATGCTCATTCTATGCAAAAACCATTTCCATTTGCACTAGATAAACTGAATGCATGAATTTTGAGAGAAAGATAATTTATGAAATTTATTTATTATTGTTTACAATATCAATATGAATTAGTTGATAGAAGTAGTTTGATTTTAATCAGATTATGTGTTTTGTGATGATCAAAAATATTTTGATTATATTGTTCAAAGTGAGAAATTAATAGATATTTTTAAAGGGGTATTATTTTGAAAGATCATTGTATCAAATTACAGCTTTAAAGATCACCATTCAAAGAGTTATCTGACATATTTGTACATCAGACAATTTGGGTGGTAAGCCTTGTTTCAACCACTATTGAAATGCAACATCTATTGAAACTAGAGGAACTGTGAGCAATGAGATCATTAAATGGTACCCCCGCCATCCATATGAATATAATGGTATTGTTTATGTTTTGTTGCGAGAAGCCCAAAATCAGTGTCATATCAAAAAGTAAAATAGGAGGTGCACAATGGCTATATGTAATAAAGATTCTGTGAAAGTTTCATCAAATTTCATACAGCGGTATGAGAGGAGTTGCGGATAAGAGATGGTTACCCCAAAGCGTAACAGACGGACGGACCATAGACAGACAGCTAGGCGGACGGACACACATTTGGTTATATATTGGGTACATCAAGTCCAAGTCCTATTGGATACTGCTTATTGGATACAAAAAAAGTGTACACACGAGAGAGCATTATTTGGGTAGTTACTGTTCAAATCTTATTGGATATTAATCCTTGTGTCCGTATTTTATTGGGTTTTTTCTTATTGTTTTTAAAATTATTTATATGTTTAATATTTGCTGGTAAATTCAGACAAGACTGAAAACCTTTGGTTTTGAACCCATATTTTTGTCAATTTCTGTGATATAGGTCTTTTATTGTAACACCTAACCAATTTGTTCTTAGCAATAAGGATATACACCTGTATATTTCAAAATAACTAATATTAAGATATATGAATACTTAAGTGCAAAAAAACTGAATTGTGAAAACACAACTCAACACATCTCAGACTCTGTTCAACCTTTCTTGAATAACAAAATTAAGTATTTAAGAAGAAACCTTTTTGAGTCATGACCAATTAATAATAAGCAAATGCCCATTACATGTTGGACAGAATGAAGGTATCCAACAGGCATTGGACAGGTGTCCTATACCTGTTGGGTTGTATTTTGACGAAGGGATTAAACTACCCAAGAACAATTGAACATGTGTACATTGTCCATTTCTATTTGGGTTTCTTGAATCTCCTCATCAAAATACAACCCAGCAGGTAATGGACACCTGTCGAACTCCTCTTGGATATCTACATCCCACCCAACAGGTAATGGACACTTGTCCAATTCTTCCTGGGTTTCTTGAATTGTTTCATCAGAATACCACCCAACAGGTAATGGACATCTGTCCAACTCCTCTTGGATATCTACATCCCACCCAACAGGCAATGGACACTTGTCTAATTCTTGGGTTTCTTGAATCTCCTCATAAAATACAACCCAACAGGTAATGGACACCTGTCCAACTCCTCTTGGATATCTACATCCCACCCAACAGGTAATGGACACTTGTCCAATTCTTCCTGGGTTTCTTGAATTGTTTCATCAGAATACCACCCAACAGGTAATGGACATCTGTCCAACTCCTCTTGGATATCTACATCCCACCCAACAGGCAATGGACACTTGTCTAATTCTTGGGTTTCTTGAATCTCCTCATAAAATACAACCCAACAGGTAATGGACACCTGTCCAACTCCTCTTGGATATCTACATCCCACCCAACAGGTAATGGACACTTGTCCAATTCTTCTTGGGTTTCTTGAATTGTTTCATCAGAATACCACCCAACAGGTAATGGACACCTGTCCAACTCCTCTTGGATATCTACATCCCACCCAACAGGCAATGGACACTTGTCTAATTCTTGGGTTTCTTGAGAATCCCCTCATCAGAATACTACCCAACATGTAATGGACACCTGTCCAATTCCTCTTGGATATCTTCATCCCTTCAATAGTATATAAACTAAAAGGTATTGACATTCTTCTTGGGTTACTCAATTTTTTTTCATAAGAAAGAAAACCCAATAGGTATTGGACATTGGTTCAACTCTTCTTGGATATTACATCCCAACATTAGAATTAAACCCAACAGGTGATGTTTAACTGTCCAATTCTTCTTGGGTTACTTATACCCTTCATTAAAATTGTCAAATTTGTCTTGGATATTTATACTCTTGCATTAGATTGCAAACCCAATAAGTATGACATTTACCTTCCCTAGTTGAATTCAAAGAGTAAAGTTCACATTGGTCCATTTTTGGCCCTGTGAATTTCTGAAAAATTAGAACTACTCAGTTTTAGTTGGAAATATATTAAATTTCACTTAAACCCTTGGTGACTTCATATCAAATAAAAATGACGTAATTTTTTCTCTTGTCTATGTATTATGACGTCATGACTTTCGTCATTTTCTTCAAATCTTGAAAATTTCGTTAAAAATTATAAAAAAAATTAAAGCTGTTTTTAAATATTTTGCTTAGCCCCCAACCTCTGATCTAAAATGTTGAATTGTATAATGAAAGAACTGTTTTAGAAGATTCTAATCCATGAAAGAATTTTTGGATCGCAGGGTGGGCTCATATTTTTATCAAAAGTTGAAGATGCTCAATTTCACCCATTTTCTTAAAAAATCAAGAACATTGCAGTTTCACAACGCCTGAGTTTCCAAACTTGGACTCTCAGAGGAAATTTTTTTTATAGGAAATGAAAGCACTAAGTCTCTACTTTATTTTGATGATCGAAATAGGGCGTAAAGACTTTGTCGGTTAATTCGTATATTGACAGGGCCATTTTATGGAATACATGAATCTACCTCTTTATCTGCATAAGCATACATAAGTCCAAAACATATTTTATACTTTAATTCTAACATTCCACATCTCATTCAGTGTACACTTTATAAATGATAGGAAATATATAAGCATTTTGTGCCTAAACTATTTGGCTTTTAAAGAATTTTATAACCATGTTTGAAAAATTTAAATTTAAATATTGGAACTTGGAGCAAGTCATTACAGGTAGAGCAAGATGCTGAAAACCATATTAATATATAGATCACACCCTTTATAAAATATTTGCCTTCAGTTGCTAAGATTGTGTTGTATTATATGGAAAATTTCTATAATCCTGTTTATTACAGATACATGTACAATGCATATTTTCCCTGTAATAATAAAAATACTTCTGAGATGTAAAAGAATGGATTAAATTGTCACCGATGTTAAAAGATATTACATGATCTCATTAATCTGGTTTGGAAATCACAAACTTAGTTTCGAAGCCGATAAAACAGTGTCGCACCAGAAAACTCAGTTACAAGTACAATGAATGAATTTGTTGTATCAAAACTTTAAAATATTTGATGCACTATGTCCAAGTCTTTTCGACAAATTGGGATAAAGATATTAAATCAAATCATCACTGTTATAAGTCTTAGAGCTAGAAAAGTCTGACATTACATGCCCAAATTTTACATGTAAGACTTTGATCCTATATTTCAATAAATGTCAAAATGGTTTTATTGTTGTTGCTGTTCAATACTTTCTTCTTCAGAGTCTCTCATGGCCTATACTGTATGATACCTCCATTGACCCTGCTCTTTTATATTGCCATATGTTTATCCAGTAGCAGAGGTTATGCTCAGGCAGTCTTTGAAATATTCCTCATTTCATGCATCTCCTTCAGTTCTGCTTCTGTCCTTTTCATTCATTCTGCAATTAGATGAAGGCATTTCTTTGCCGTATAAAACATGTTTTTCTTGACTACAGCAAGATCACCCTTTATGTTGATCAAACCCAACCAAGAAGTAGAAGTATATTTCTTATTCAGAAATATGTATTGATAAATAAAATGGAAGAAAAACTAAATTCTTTTAACTCTTTTTTTTCTTCTATGCCTAACTGCATCTTTATCCTACCCCTCCCCCCATCCGCCATAATTTTATCAAAATGGAATCATCATTCAACACACAAAACAATGTTGCATAGTAATTGGACAGTATGTTAGTTTCTGATTGTTAAGAAGTAGATTTTAAAAAGATTTTACACCTATTCCTTGCAAATTTTAGACTTCTAATGTAACACTATCAGTACATTAGGGGTACATAATCTTCTAAAACATCTCTACACTTAATGATAAAGCTTTCACATTAGTATTGTTTTTAGCCCAATGGTTCTGCTAAAGAGGATTTTAAATTGACCCAAACCTTACTAACTGCTTTGAAATTATATTGACAGGGACAGAGACACACTTGACACTCCATCCCCCCTTTCTGGGGTATGCTTTGCACAAAATTTAATTAAAATTGACTAAGCTGGATAGAGTTGAAAATATGAAAAATTACAGTCAAACAGATTATGAATAACTTTCAGCACATCAGACATGAAGTAGTGATCCTTAAATAAAATACACCTACAAGATGAAGCTGTTTTATTCCTTTGAAGTGATATCTAGTATTGTTTCTTTTCCTGTATGCCACCTCTATCAGAACAAAATGTTATACATGTATTAACATAACCTATGACCGTATAGTACCCCAGTATTTACTTTACAATTAATTAAGTTCTGGAACCAATCCTAAGATGCCCTTAAAACAAATGATTCTAAACTGGCAAAGGTAAAGGGCATCTGAAGAATTTAAAATAAAAATAATAGTACAAACAAGCAAACAGTGTGCATGAAAATGTTGGCAAACACTAGAAAAAATACTAAGGTACTTTCTCAAACTTAACATGAATACTAAAGAGGTTTTATGTAGCTGTATTGCACATACCAAAAGCTTTCCTGCAGTTAAAGGTTGGTTGCCTAGTAGTTATGTAGTATGTACAAGAATTTCCCTCTATCTCTTCTAATTTAAGAAGCGAAAATGTCTCTAAAAATCTTATGGTTGGCATGAAGTATTCCTGTTCATTTTACTGATTACTTACAATTGTCCAATTTCTGAGGGTCATCTTCTGATGGGTGTGTTCTCTGCAATGTTCACAATTGAAGTTCCTGTTTAACCTGTTACACATTGAAAGTCCTCAATGAACATGATTATGGTTTTAATTTCCATTGTAATTTACTTTTACTTTTATTTAAAAAAAAGCTAAATCAATTTATTGTAACATAATACTTAGGAAAATATTTATGAAATATCAATGAAAAAGGAATCATTATCTCCAGTTATCCTAAAATCACAAGTAAGCATTAATCATATAAATTCACATACGTAAACCCATTAGCTTTTTGTGCTATTAAATCATAGTCATCGTTGTGCAATAAAGGAAATCAAGTACTGATCCACAGCTTTGTGGCAATAAAGTTTACTATCCCCGAGTAAAAAGTGACAAGCCCAAATAAATAGGCAAAAATTAAAAAGTAACATTGAAAAAAAAGTTCATCGTGAAAAAAGCCAGGGGCCCGTTTCATCAAAAGTCGTAAAGTTAAGCCTTAACTTAGGCGTACTTCCGGGGATTACGCCAAAATTTAGTCGGGCGTAATTTGCGTTTCACCAAGTGGCGTAAGTCTAGTCGTAAAAGATACGCTTAGTCACAGGACTAAGTCCTTGACAACGTTGCATTGCGCAGGCGCAAAAGCATAAACATTGCCCAAAGCGTACAAACATGTATAAATTGTAGCACGTCAAAGTACAGAATAACACAAGTTATAGATAAATTAATACTTGCACTAATTGAAACATGCATGGGTTTATAGTGTTATGTAAGAAACATGAATCTTTTAAGAAACCAATTTTAGTTTTTTACAATATTTCAATAATAAAAGTCTAATAAATTGAAAGGTTGAAAAGGACAGTACATGTACTTGTTTTTTTTGAATTAAGCAAAACTACTCATTTTGGAAATTTAATTACAGCCATACCCCCTCTTCCCGAAATTGATACAGGTTTAATAACTTCGCCTTTGATAATAAATTTCATGATTCGATAAATACTGATTCTACTGACAAATACTAATAATTAAGTTTGAGACAGAATAAGATTTAAAAATTTTAATAAGAAATGTATATGAAAGCAAAAATAATGAAAACAAAATGCAAACGGTTTACATATGAACAGATTTTGAGTCAAGAAATAAATTTTACACGTTTACTGCTATGGTACATGTAAGATAATCCTCTCTGTATTTATTAATTTTTTGTCAATTCAATTGATTCATAAATGTTCAGTTATAGAAAAAAAATCTTTATTATCTGCAGATTAAATGTGATGTACCGTTTTAAAAGTACGCAGAGAGAGAGAGAGAGAGAGAGAGGTTTGGAAAAATGACTACAAAGATATTCTTACAAAAATTCTCTGCTCATGTGGTCTCTGTCTTTAAAATTTAGTTACAGACACTCTTTATTTTGTTTTCATTAAAATGTTAGTAATGCAGGAAATCAAAAACATGTATATTTTCATCTTATATGTGCTTTATATGCGCTCAGATTATCTTATACTATGTAAGATTTGCTCTTTTAAAAAAAATTATGAAAATTAAAGATGTCTTCTGCATCAATGTTTGTCTGAGAAAAAAACAATTAGGAATAATTCATTCTTGAACTTAACTGTGTAATTATCACCGTCTTACATCGATATCATAAAAACAATAATTTATTACCACTTTCAAAAATCTCTTATTGTCTATGAGACCCCAACCCCCTCCCTGGGTTGGGGTCTATGGTTCGCCGGGAACATCACTTGTCCCAGATACCTAGGAAAATAATTACTTTCTTCCTTAACTAAGTAAGCTGTACATCCAATGTTAATTAATCTGCAAATTCGGGAGATTCTGAACCCTCTCTCCGACCCCCTCATGTTGACGAGAAGTAAATAAGAAATAAACTCTTCAAACATGACAAAAACTATTTGGTTTTAAGATGGGTTATTTTTTTGAATTTTTTTCTTAAATGTAGAAAATTACATGAAAGATGATAACTATGCTTTTGAAACCGATTTTTTTTTTTTTTTTTTTTGTTTTTTTTTTGGTAATCTTTGTTTTTCAGAAAATATGCTGTTGAAAAATATTTTTCAAAATAGACAATTTTAATGAGTCTCTTTTCAGTAAATGAAAAAGAAACAAGAGGTACCGTAAGCGATGAGTTCAATAAAAGATATTCCCCCGCCTTCCATATAAATATAATGGCAGTGTTCCATGTTTTGCTGTGGGAAACCCAAAATATGTGTCGGATCAAAAAGTACAATAAGGCACAATGGCAATATATAATAAAGATTCTGTGAAAATTTCACCAAATTTCAATCAGTGATATGAAAGGAGTTGCGGATAGAGATGGGTACCCCCAAAGCGTAACAGATGGACGGACATCCCGACTACTAAATAGTATATACATGTACATATACATGTACCGTCCCGCTTTTCAACCGGGGTGTAGAAATACAGTTATATATGTAAATTGATTTACAATACCTTAGACACACAATACCACAATCAAATGTGTATGAATGCATTGTCAAAACGTAAGAAATCTCTAATAAGACAATCTTTTCTTCTCAGCAGAAATTTATCAAAATATTATATGAGTACGTTATTACTCAAATCAACTACGTCCACAAGTAGTTGTAACAACACCCCCCCTCCCCCTCTTCATAATATGTATTATTAAATACTAGTAATGCATTGTTTGTATTTTAAATTCTTCTTAGAACCTTACTTTTTCTTTAGAACTCGCTAAAATTAATAAAAAGGCCTTATTTTAACTTTACGCCCTAAATTACGCCTACCCATGAGTAGACGTAAAATTTTGGCCTAAATTTAGTCAGGTGTAACGATACGCACTTTAATGAAATGCAAATATTCGTGCTAGTCCCGACTTTACGCCGGCGTAGCGCTACGACTGGGCGTACGACCTTTGATGAAACGGGCCCCAGGGTATTAACTACAGATGATTCTTTTTAAAATTAAAGTTTAATTTAATTTTCGCTAGTAAAATTTAATCATATATAAATTAATGATTTAAAAAAATGAAAAAAAGATTTTAAATATTCCTTTTCTGGCCATTCACTAGTTCGTCTAATTAAAACGAAGCAAAAATCATTTTGTTTTCATCTTGAATCATTTAAAGCCCTATATGGCGTATGTACAATGACAATTATTAGACTAAAATTATAAGAACTTATTATTTGTATCATTACTTTATATAAACATGATAAAGATAGAAATTTTACGTAAATTACAAAATCTAAGTCAATTGCGTTATAAAGATATCAAAATTTAATTCGGATTCTCGGAATTTTCTCAGACTCGGAAGAAAATACAAAAGACTTAAATAACACATTACAGAGAAGATAAAATCGTATTATTAGATAAAAGGAGGTGTTCTCCGTGCTCCGAATTGTATGAAAAGCTTTAATTTAAATGTATTAACTATATTTCTTTACTTAATTTTGTATTTTTCAAAAATATATTTTTTGATCAGTTACACCATATATGGCTTTAAAAAAATGCTACATAATTGCATGACACTTATCATTGAGCTGATTGAGTGAATGTATATAATTTAATAATGAGATATCTGTTAGGCATATATGTACAAGCAAATATTGCTATATTAAACAAAGAAAAAGGGGGAATTCAAATTAGGAAATAAAAGATTGTTTTTAAGTAAATCAGTCTTGTAGTACTGCAAAATGGATGCAGTTGTGGAGATTTATAGATAATATAATGAGCATGCTGTCTGGAATATTTCCATATTAGGGAATTTAATAGCAAAAAAGAGTGAAAATACTAGTGGTGTTTTTCATGTATTACATGTGTATTTTAAAATTCCTAATAGCCCAAGGGGATTCCTCAGTGCAGAAAACCACTAGCCCCATCCTCAAAAATGGAAGCCCCGGGTGAAGCGCAATGCTAATTACACACCCGTCATGTGAAATAGTTATAGTAGCCCTATATCAATTTCAGTATTGTTTTAAATTTATTAAAACAAATGACAAAAACAATAATTAAAAAAAAAATCAAAAGAAAGCAGACACTCAGTCAAAATCAAAGACAGAAAGAAGCACTGTTTTGACTGAACGTTTTTCAGTAATACAATGCATCTCTTACATATCAGATGAAATAAACTTACATACAATTATATATTTGTTGTCAATTATCCCATTTATCATCATCTCAGCTCCCTTTGCGATTGTAATACTGTCTACATGAACTGATAATTTACAGCTGATTTATGAACACACGATTGTTAAAATTTTCATTTCCCTTTCCAATATACATTGTCAGAACATACTTAGTTGGTTATGATATAAAATTAAATAATAAACACTTTCGATTTATTAAAGATTATCTAACAATATACGATCATTTACGAAATACTTCTCGCCCTCAAGAGAGTTAAAAAGACAGAGAAAATTCAAAATACAAACAAGTGCAACTTAGGATGAATTGTTGCGATATATCTATTTTAATTTTGTGCACAATTGTTTTCAAAATTACATTAAAATCTATTTTCCTTAAACAAGAACCTAGCAATGGATAAATATTAATCGAATATCGGAATAAACTTACCTTTTCTCTTGTCAATCAGAAAATCTTGTTGACATTAAGTGTTTCTTAGTCGCCATATTTTTTTTCCATGAAAACAAACGTTGTTATGATCAGGATCAACGGAAGTTGATTTTCGGAACTCTCGAGAATTTAGAGTTCCGAATGTAAAACTGAAAGAACAAAACACGGTGCGTCCGTGAAAGCAACTTTTTTAGACACTTTTTTGGACAAATCGTTGTGTCCAAGTTTTGTTGGGTACTAACCTGCAAATACCCAATTAGGGTGTTTTAAGCATATTCAGCGACACTTCTTATTGGGTATACCCAATAAGCAAAAAGTACCCAATAAGTACAATCTTGGCATGAAAAATACCCAATAAATGCACTCTCGTAAACACGGACGGACAGACGGACGGACGGACATACCGATTACTAAATACCCTCCCACTTTTCAGGAGGGGGGTATTATAATTATTTCAATAGTGGTCATTATTTCAATAGTGGTTGCAACAAAGCCTATTCCAATAGATTGATTGATTGATTGATTGTATATTGTTTCACGTCCCTCTCGAGAATTTGTCACTCATATGGAGACGTCACCGTATGCCGATGAAGGGCTTCAAATTTAGACCTAAACTCGGCACTCAGGGCCATTGAGCAGTGAGGGTTCTTTATCGTGCCGGCGCCTACCGTGACACGGGACCTACGTTTTTAAGGTCATATCCGAAAGACCCGTGACTTTCACTTCTGATGCCGAGTGCTTGGCGAAGGAACAGTCACTACCTATTTTTACGTCTTAGGTTTGACGCGGCGCCGGGAACGAGAATCGAACCCGGGCCTCCCGATCACGAAGCGAATGCTCTACCACTAGGCTACTGTGAACAGTAAAATTTAGATTAATATTATTTAAATCTTGAATATCTTGATGACTATTTTGAGAGTAATATGTAAAGATTTATACATTTGAATGTTATCTCCCTTTAATGATAAATATGTAAAGTAAAATATAGATGATAATAATATAATAATAATATAAGTATTATCTTCATGTAAAATAATGAGCATTGTGTGTAATATATTAAATTATATTTATTGTTATATGATATTTACAGTATTATATGTTAATTATGAATTCATGTCAATCCACTGTGAAATGAATATTTGAAGAACCCTGACAGGAGTTCGTGTCACTTCCATACCTCTGTTACGATAACTTCTTTACTTGTTCAGTTTATTTAGATTTTTCGATTGCATTTAATCATTGATTGAGGTAAATTGTCCCCTTGATAAGTCAAGGAAATTACGCCAAGCAATCCAATGAATTAGTATACCTAATTTAAAAAATTTTTTCTGTCAAGCAGACATTATTAAGATAATAGTATGGAAATCATCCAACCGTTAAATTGGTGACATTTGAAGAGTCGAAGTTGTCCTACTTTTTTCTTTTGCGTTTAAGTTTTATGTTTTTCAGATGTAGAATTTTCATAATAAAATAATTTAATTTTGTTTATATTCTCGCCTCTCATTGGTTGATTTCCAAAAAGGAACGCAAAACATTTTGTATAATCTGGTTTGGTATGGGGACACGCCCCCTTGACGACCAGCTTAATCATCTTATCCATGCAATCCCCTCATTTCCAGTCCTCCGAGTCCATGGAAAATTCAAGATTTAGTAACTCTATCTTTAACTTCAAACACTTACTCGATCTTACCTCATGTAAACACACATCATGGCTGCTAGAGCTATGTATCAGTTATTACCTCCCCTCGCTTCACATCACTTCCGTTACTACGGTTGTATTATTGCGCGGTAAATTTGAACTCGTAAAAAGCAACATAATTTTACATCCAAAGTTGTTTGATTATTTTAAAATTAAATTATAAGGTATGACTCTAATTCTTGGCCATATTATCGAGTATAATCTGGTTTGGGTCAGTTTACGCTTTTTTATAATCCGCTTCGCGGATTATAAAGCGTAAACTGACCCAAACCAGATTATACTCGATAATATGGCCAAGAATTGGAGTCATTCCTTAATTATAAAAAAAACAAACAATGTGATATATTCTGATTTGAAAAGAGATTTTAATTCTAACTTCATTTCGTTTTCTAATATGGAAAAAAAAATAAGTATGACTGTGACAGTAATATTATTTTCATGTACGTATACGTCATATTTTAAATTATATGTTGAAGGAATTTTTGCCCTGCAAATTGTATTGATAAACATATTTTAAATTAGATAACAGTAGAACTATTGGTGACCTGCTCTCACCCCGATGCCTACCTCAGATGTTTCAGAAGTACGTGTTTGCTCGACTCCTGGTTCGTAGTGTTTAATGGACTTGAGAGCTCGAATGCTGTTTGTCACCTCCAAATAAATCATTGTTAACTATCTTAAGGCATTTGATAGTATTTTTAAAAACTATTCTATTCAAAAAGCTTATATATCAGTGGAAAATGTTAAAAAGTGTAATGGACTTTGCATAAGAGCTACTAGTATTTGAAATACACACAAATATTATCATCAAATGTGATACATTTATATATGTACTTAAATTCATTTATGGAATAAAAGTCGTCACATAAAAGTGTCACAGTGTTAAAGATATCAAAATGATATCCTGTCACAGTATGAGAGAATATAAAAAGTTTGGTCTCGATTTTCCTTCCCTTTACAAAAAGTACTGTAAAAGCACTCCTTGACCTGTTAAACGATAGAAAGAGTAAATAAAACATCATAACAGAGAGTAAATCCGCTAAAGTATCTTCAGGGGTGTTGTTGAAATCCATGTTTACAGTGTTTTCAATCTGGGATCACTTAGTTATAGTAATAATGTGATCCGATGTGACAAAAAAAAGACAGAGACACAAATTTAAGAGGAAAACAAAGAAAATACAAGCCTAAAATTAAAAAAAGTCCTATCCTACTTGTTAAATAAATTCCATATCCAGCAACTAAACATGAAATATCCTCTATTAAGTGACAGTCTGCAGTGTAGAACAGGAAGATGTTCAGGGAGAATGTCTCCTCTACTTTTTCCTTTATATTTATTAAATGATTCAATTTTAAATTCAATTCAGTGGTATGAGATGAGTTGCAGATAAGAGATGGGTATCCCAAAGCGTAATAGACGGACGGACATCCCCAATCACTATGTACCCTCCCATTTTTCAAGCGGGGGTAAAATAAACAAGCAAATGACAATATTTCCACGTTCAACTCAAGAAAGCTTAACACATTTGGAATTCTATGGTCGATACAATGACCTTGTCAGCCGATACAATTTTATATTGAGTCGAATGCTGACTAACGTTTTTCATACTTCTTGTTAGTCCATTATTTATACATTGATTTGACGACAGATTTTCCGTTATTTCCCGATAATGATAAGGAGCACACAGCGGATGTGACCGGTCAGCAGGGAATACTCACTCCTCCATGGCACCGGATCCCACCTCTGATGTTTTGGAGGCCCTTGTTTGCTCTGCTCCTATTTTGTATTGTTTTATGGTCTTTTGATCTTGAATACTGTTCGCTATCTCCATATGTTTCATTCAGCCATTTTCGGCGGTATTTGCCTTGACATTAACATTTTTTGATAAATTAAAAGTATTTTTCACTGGCATGTGCTTATAACAATTCTGAGTGTTCACAAAATATCTCCAGCATTACTTCCTTTTTATAAAGTATATAAAAACTCTAAAACTCTTTCATCCAAAAAGGAAGAAGCATTGCATGTGTTATTAGCCTGTTTACAACATCACTAATTTCATTGTGATAGTTCATATACAGAACAAATTCTAAGGATGATCTTCAACCTTATACTAATACTTGTTTATCAGCTACAGGAGGACATCAGCGCTCAAGACGATAACATATGCGGGAATCTAAAGTAAGCTTGTTTGGTTTTATCTTCACTTATTTTTCATTAAATATAAAAAACTATATTATAAACAAAAATAGTACGGTGTTACCGAGAGACAGGTTATTACTAAGATTTTCTATCTATCTAGTGGTGCCTTGATATGCTGTTCTGGTTATTATTTGTTTGATGACCGTTGTATTGGTAAATAACATATGATTATAATGAGAAAATATATGCTTATCATTCGAACACAATTATGTAATTACAAAATATATTTTCTGTTTCTTCCTTTTTACGCATTCTACAGAAATAAAAATCCATGTTCCCTAAATGTATATGTGAGCAATTCTTGAACTTCTTCAGAATGTTTTGGAGCGTATGGAGAAAACTGTTTCACGCCATGTTATGAGAATTCCTACGGCTATAGATGTAAAGAAACCTGTAACTGTAAACCGAATCAAGATTGTAATAAATACATAGGATGTCGGGTGAATGGTAAGTGTAAGATATTTACATATGTATATGGAAATGATGAGCTTGAATTCTGTTCGTTATATTCAATATCTCCATTTCATTTAAAGAATAAAATGATATCTTTAGTTCTAAAAGTATAGAAATTAATGTTTCACATGTTGGAAAAAGGTATATAACCCTCTGTTAGCAAGGTATGCAGTTTTTAAGCTGTATATTAGCAGACAAAGAAAGACATTTTCTTGTTTATATTTATTTATATAAATAATCATATAAAGTAGAGTGTGAAATAATGTATAATTGATGTGTATGTCGTTGTATTCAACTGTTCAGGAAACCTGTTCATGTGATTTGCGTTCATGTATTAATTAACGGCAAACTTTATAATAATTATTAGATTTATAAAACGTTTGATAAAGACAAAAAGGATATAATTCTCCGTCTATGTAAATAAGTACATGTAAATGATCATATGAAAAAAGGATATGATGTCTATTAAACTTTCTCAGTTCTTATTATGAGGATAATGCACAACACTGCAGCATTTCGCATACGCTTGGGTAGAAAGTCTCAGACTCACCGAAAACCGAAAAATATCATTATTCAAAGTACAGTTTGGAGTAAGTGTTTTAATGGGTTTGAAACATTCAAATTATACTCAGATATGAAAGATATTTAGAATACTTCTTAAATAGCATTGAATTCTTATTCTTAAAATAAAATGTTGAATGAAAAAACTAGGCATGCCCTTCAAAATTCATTATTTTTATCCTTTTAAAATTTCAACCCAATTCACTAAATTTCATTCATTAACCCAGATTTT